TGCACTTGCTTTAAGTTTGGTAGAAGTATTTCAAGATTAGACATTGAAAATCTCTGAAATAGAATCACTGAAGAAAGATACTGTTTCCACTCAGACAGCTGGCAAGGCTGTGGTTATTTTTCATGAAGTAGATAGAGTTTAAGCAGTTAGGCTCTCAGCTCGAGAGCTGACTTCATTTCCGAGTTTACTCCTTTCTAATGGGGTCTGTGTGTCCCTTTGTTCCCAACAGAAATATGTGGGTGTGGAATCATTTCATACTGCACAACTCTCAGAGAATAAAAGTGCTAATTTTAGATGAGTCTGGGACAACTTTTGATAGGGAGAGAAAATGTGAGGACATGAAATGTGAAAAACATCTGAAAAACATACTCAAAACTTTCTGAGTCGGGTTATTTATGTAGAGTCTAAAACACATAGTGCCTTTTATTTCTCTAGATAACTTCAGCTTATTTTGTTTAGTAATGTCTAGCAGTTGTGAAAAATGTAAAAATTAGCTGGACATTAGCACTATGAATCTTATTAAATTCTTTGACCCCACACAAGCAGAAAAAACCAGGAAGGTAAAATACTTGCCTGACAAATGCAAGGCCTAGCATTGGAATTCATTTTGGTCCTTTTCATTTACACCAGAAGTAAGAAATCTCTTTTCAGTAAGAACGAGATGTCATTTTGTGCTTCTGTTTTAAAGCTAGTTTAACTCGTCTTTCTCCACTCTCCATGCCCTTGAGAAAGGGGTTGATGCAGGGAGTTCCCCTGCTGAGCCCTGGAGGCCCCACCCCTGCCTCACTTCCGGGCCAGCAGATCCTGCAGCCCTGACTCCAGACTCCATCCAGCAGGTCTCCATTAAGCGCCCCTTTCTCACCACTTGGGTCTGAGCCATCGTCTTTCTTCCCTGATTCCCGCAGTGCTCCTGTGAGTGGCTCCTGCTGCTGTGTCCTGTTCGCCTGATATTCACTTGAAATTTTACGATGGATCCTGTCGGTCCTTCCTTATTTCAGAGTGAGGCTTAATGCTGACTGAGCACTGGGGCTGGGTTCCCCTCTGGCATCCTCTGCGGGTTGTTCTCCCCCGTCCACCTGCTCCAGGTACAGGGGCTGTCCCCATCTTCCTCCTCTGTCCTAGGAGCTCTCCAGGTCTGTTCCCTCTTCTTGGAGAGTTCTCTCCCACATAGGTATAGGGAGCCTTGCCTCACCTCCTTTAGGGGTTACTTAATGTTGCTCTCTCTGGGTCCACTTTTGTCACTGTGCACAACATTATAACCCATATCCCAATCTTGTCCAGGTAGTTTTTTTTTCTATAGTGCATGTTGCTTCCTGATGTACACTACAGTTTATTTTCCCGTGTTGATTAGTTCTATGCCTGTATCACAGAATGTCACCCCAAAGAGAAGAGCTTCCAGTTTCAATCCACGATCTCTCTGCTATCCAGGAAAGGTTGGGGACACAGCATAGCATAAGACCAAGTAACACTTCCTGGGTGAGTAGTAAGTGCTGTGGTGGAGGGAAGTGTGGGAGGCCAGGTGCGGGAAGGAGGCTGGAAAGCAGGCAGAGGGGGAAACCTGGTTAAATCCTGAAATGTGCAGAGTGATTCCAAAATACATCTACATAGTTTATGCCAGGAGGGATGTCACTGCAGCTGCTGAAAAGCACAGGGCCTCGAAGGGCCATGAACTAAGGCAGGTCTGGAAGGACATCCTTCTTTTCAGATGATCAGGTAAATACTTTGCTTAAAAGAAGCACTAAATTCTTCTTGGCCCTCACTGAACAGAGAAGGAAGGGAAAAATCTCCCTATGTTCAGCTTGAATTATTGCCGACAGCACATCTTATTTCTAAGAGACTTTACTATTTCCTTTTAAAGGAAGGCAAAAGCTTACTTTATGAGAGCCAGGAAGAATTTAGTCATTTTAGTGCTTTTGAGTGATAAGGTTGTAGGAACACAGGCACTCCCCTGACAACTGAGTAGATTTTGTGAGGAGAAAAACGCATACAAATAAATGCAATTTATTCTTCGCTATCACAAGATGCATCACGGGATGCCATTTCAGGGAATGACTGAGGTGAGGTCAGGATCTGCTCCCGGAGGCAAATCGTGTTCTCACTTGATGTTCCCAGGAGCCATTCGAAGAAGTAACACCATCAGCTAGGTAATCGACCCTGGGAAGAAAAGCTGGGCACCCTGCATCTTCTCATCCAAAAGATGCTTTTCCTTAAAAGAAAGAAATGTTTAGTGAAACCATACTGACTTGAGCTGGCCCTGAAATGCTCATTTTAAAACATATGTCTTAAATCTGGTGCCTCTAAAATGAAAAAAAAAAAAACTTCTTTAAAATAACTTTGTTATTAATTAAAACATTTCATGCAGAAAAGGTATAATATTATTTGGCAATGAGCCAAGAGATTGATTAGCAATTGAAAATATATCCTTTTAAGATCATGGTACACAGTATATTTAATTATTTTGTTTTTTGGTACTGACAGTCAAACTTGGGTCCTTTTGCTTGAGAGGCAGGCAGTGGAACCACTGAGCTAAATTCCCAACCTGATACACAGTGTATTTAATATTGTTATTCTCTAATAAAAAATAATAAAATTAGCTTTTATAGAATGGCTTTTATATTTTCTTTACTAATATATACTTGCATTACTTTAAAATAAAAATATTAAAAACACCAAAAAAGAAAGAAAAAATCTTAGAAAAACATAGTGCAGTGTGGTATTGTCAGTTACTTGTGTTTATATATCATTTATTAGTCTGAGCGAACAATGATCCTACTCACAATGCATCAGAGCAACATTTCAACACTTATTACTCAATAATTTGCATTCAAATTTGCATACATTACTAGGAATACATTTTTTAAACATAGAAATGGAAAATATTTCCCTTTTATTTCTCCCAATTTACGGCAATTCTCAGGTAAGATATTGCCAATAATTTTCCATTGTAATTTTAACAAATTTCCAAAATATGTGAGATGTGCTCCAAATACACCATGAATGTTTAAATATAAACAATAATTGCAGTAAGAATACACTTATCCAATCCCTCTTGCCACTTTCTGAAGAAGCTCTGGAGTTCTTGTTCATGTCTTTACAAGGTGTTGTCAGATGTGGTGAATGCTGCTGCTGAGCACCATCCAGCGGAAGGGCAGCTCATAAAAACGTGGCAGTGCGTCCTCATCCACCTTGTTCACCAGATCTGGCGCTGTGTGACTTCTGTCTCTCCCCCAACATCAGATGACTAAGGTAAACATTTTGAATTGATTCCGGACATAAAGGCAGCCACAACAGTACAACTCAAGACCCCTATGAAAGAGGACTCCAGAACTGCTTCAGAAAGTGGCAAGGACAGTGAGCTAAGTGTGTTTGACGTGAGGGAAGTATTTTGAGGGGTTTAATGGGAATGCCTTCTATTGCAATAAATATTTTAAAGTGTAAATATTTATCATATTTTTCAATCACACCTCTTATGTTATAAAATTCTTTATCTCTCAACCTGTTTTCACTGACTGACTATAAGCACAGACTTTTCAACTTCTTCCACACCTCAAATTTCTATATGTATTTGTTGATTTTCAAAGTTGATTGAAGTTGATTTTAAGATCATCTGACAAGCACTTGGGTTCATAATACATTTTCTCCCATTTTGCAGTGGGTCTGTGTATCCCTCATCTACCCTGAATCCTGGTAATAGATGCTACCTTGGGGCCCTGAATTTTTAAGAACACCAAACTAAGAAAATGCTTTACCAAACTTCATCTCTCTTTGCCATTCAGATTTCTGCTAAGTGTGAAGAACCCTTTGAAAAGTAGGGCATTGGGACATTTAGCACTTGTCTGAATCCAAGAATGAAGTAAAGTGATTGGAGAGAGTAATGGAAATTTTCTGTATTGATTTCACCTCTTCTATCCCCGAGGTCACATCAGAAAATGTCCAGCTTTGGAATAGTGTGAAAAGAAGAATTTTAAAGGGGTAAATACTAAAAATAGCTCTATTCATATATTTGAATATAGCTGAGACTTGTCAGTTCTTAGTATCGATTTCCAAAAATGTTTTGGATGCTGACTCTGTCAGATGTGACTAGCATGATTTTTGGAATAAAAGCTTTGCCATCACGTTGGATAAAACACACAGAAAAATTTTGTGTAATTTTATTCAGAACTAGTGTGTGCTATCACACAGCTAGGACATATTTTATTGATCGTATGTAAAATATTAGTAAAATATACTCAACAATCTTCAGTTATTTTGGCAGTTATTTAATAGAGTAGTATCTTGGTTCATGAACTTAATTCTTTCCATGATTGTGGAATGAATTCTGTGATCAGAACTGTGGAAAGATTGAATTCATGAACCGAGGTGCCCCTGTGTTTTCTAATTCCTCATAACAGAATTTAAAATTCATGCCAGTTGCTGGATTGCTTAGGTTTTAGCTATGCATCTCTTTCTTTTCATTTAATATTCAAGTGCTATTTGTTCATGATCCTTAAAAATAACGAATGGACTTATTTTTATGGACCTCCTTTAAGTAATCCCCAAAGGCAAACAGAGCTCCAGACTCAATACACATTCAGTAAAGCAGAACCACCTTTTCACCATAACCCTTGCCTCATAAAGAACCGCACCCATTTATTCACATTTGACATTCATTTATTAAACTAGCCAGATGCAGTGTATTGATTTATCTTCCCATAGTTGTAGAAACACATGACTCAGTCCTTTGAGAGCCTCATAACTGGTTCTGACTGGACAGCTTTTCTTAGCTGTCCTGTGCTTTAGCACCTTTTGTGATGCCAGGACTCTGGACGTGCCTGCCCCTCCAGATTTCAGGGTGCTGCTCTGCCCTGTGGCCCTGCTTCTCTGATGTGTGAAAGAGAAGTCATGGATTTTCTCCGTGTTCCATTTTTCCATGCTGTCTGGGTGCCAGTTGGCTGATTTCTTTCTCCTTGTCGTGAGGCTGCTTCTTGCTTCTTTGCCAATTCTTGTGGTTTTCTATTGGAGGCAAGGCCTTGAGGACTCTGCTTCTTTGCCAGCAGCATTTGTATTCCTGCAAGCATTCGTCAGTGTTCCTCTAGGGTCCGGCTCTGTTATGTGGAGGAAACACCAGTTTGCTGTGAATAGACCTGATTATCAGCACTGCAGAGCCAAGTGTATCCGCAGATCGCAGGACTTCCAGTGTGGCTGGTGGAAAGGAGCCCTGTTCCGCCCCGGGTGAGTGGCTGCTTCTCCTCCTCGTGGGATGTGTGCTGGGTCACCGGCCTGCTCATGGGCTGCCGGGGCTGATAGGTCCCGAGCAGCATGAAGAGGGCCCTGGAAGGCCACGCGGTCTCCACAGCAGCCCCTTCGCTCTCTCTCCTGAGAACTACCCTGCCTCCGTCTCCCTGTGGGTCAGACGAGGGTGGTCCCCAGGCTACAGCTGGCCTCCGTCGGTGTGCACAGGGTCACTCTGCAGTGCTAGGTGCTGCAATGCAAAACGAAGCCAAAAATCTGTGCGTTTAAAAATAAAGTAGCATGAATATTTGTGAGTTATAATTTATGGGGAAATGCTATTTAGAGAACTGACTCCAGAAGAGATGAAAATACGTATGTTTGTTATCAGAAGAAAAAGATTTATTTTTTTCTAAAAATTCATTAAAATAATTTTACAGCTTTGGGATTTTGACAAAAACATTTGAACCCTACAAGATACAAATATTTTATTTAATAACAAACCACTTGTAACTGCCAAGGTGTAGGAACCATACAGTGCTTGCCGAGTGTGTCAGATCAAACTGGGCGCCTGCATGGGAATAATGAGAGATGGGATTCGTGGTCATCCGACCCTTTGCTCTGAGTTTCGAGAAGCGAGAAAGTCGCACCACGTAAATACCCTCTCACTCTGCCTCTGGCCTGTGTTGCTCCCAGCAGGCTCCGGCCTCTTTGCTGGTGGGTGGAGAGCTCCTCGCAGGGCTGTCTCGGTGGGAGGAGCGGGCCAGCCGGCGGGCCCTTCCCGCTCTCCAGGGTCCTGCAGGCTGAGTGGGACCGGGCTGAGACACACGCAAACACACACACACACACACACACACACAACACGCACGCACGCACACAGGAATACCAGACTCATTCCACAGAGGTGGTAGTTATTGCATTTTTAAATGGGATTTGGGTTTGGCTTTACATCTGTGTCCTACTGAGATGGTCAAAGAGTTTCAATTCACTTAGGGATCTTTGATATAAGCTAGCCAATCAATGTCTGGTGAAAGGAGAAAACCAGGGAAAGCCCACACCGCTAATGGAAGAACACTGCAGCAACAAGGCTGAGGTCGGTCCTCCCAGGACGCCTGTGTGCGCCATTTGTAGACCTGACTCCAGGCAGAGGAGTGAGGCCCTGCTTCCTCCAGATTCCTGTTAGGGCCTGGCTGAGGGAAGAATGGCATTTATATTCATTTTATATCTACATAATTGACTCTGTGTCCTTGAATTTTCTTCTTTCGATAGCTTAGGACTGGTATATCAGCTTGCAGAGGACAAATCTCATAAAAGATTACCAAATATTAGTTATAGACGTTGTGTTACCTAAAATATGTATTTGAGTCTAAGAACTAACTTTATTTGCAGGGTAAATTAAATCATCATATTTATAGTCATGCTTTTAACATTTACCTTTTTCTGGTGCATTTTCACTTTCAAATAACAGAGATTGGAAAGCTCATTATTCAGCATGGCTGTGAGTGGAGTATTATTCAGCGGGTTGTGATTATTTTCCAGGCTGATGTGCATTGCACAGTGTGTCAGAGACACATGCATGAGAGCTGTGGTGCTGGCAACGAGGGTGGTGCTGGCCCCAGAACATGGCTTGGTTCTTCTCTCTGAGCACGGTGCCTATTCAGGGAGAGAGTGAGGTCTTGCTGAAAGGTGGGCTGATGCATCCAGGAATCGTCAATCCCATTCCGAATTCAAAGGTGGAAGACCCAGGCCAAGTTCCTGCTGTCACTGATAATGGTCTGCATTGCAACTTTATACATATCTTCAGAATTGAGGTATTTTCCTCTTTGTTACAGCACTGGTTCAGCAGGACTTCTTCACGCTTGCTTCACTAGTACTTGGTTTGGTAAAGAACCAAATCTGAAGGAACAGACTTGAAGCACAAACACTGGATCCTAATGCATCTTGCAGAATGAACACAGAAGGGGGTGAACCTTTTTATTAGTATTTATTATCCAGTCCTCAGTGAAATCATTCCCATGAGCTGTGACATGAGCCTCAGGGGGGATACGGTGAACTATGAAAGAAGCAGAAAGGAAGGGGCCGGTGCGAGTGACATTTGTTTTATAACTCTGGGTTAAGAGTTCAGTGTGTTGTTGGTGAGAAAATGGGAAGAAGATTTGAAAAGCATTTCCTTAATTTGAGATCACTACTAAAACCCAGAATGGAAAGTCATTGCTTAGGCATAAATCTGAACCCAAACTTTTAGCTTTGTTCTCTGGACTCCCGGCTCTTCGGTAGAGCGTGTTCTGTGGTCAGACATCAGTGCATCTGAGGGGTGCAGGTTAGGGTTAGACAGCAGTGGGGCCTCTCCATCTCTCCGGAGGATTTGGAGCCTCTGCAGGAGGTGTGGTTAGGGAGAGGGAGAGTGAGAGAAAGGGGAAGCCCTGGATCAGGCTGTGCAGAGCAGAGGGGAGCCCTGCCCTGTGGACCCCTAAAGACAGTCGTTGGCAGCGACTCTGAAGAGAGGGGTCTGAGAGCAGTGTGCATGGGTGTGGTTAAGCTTACACAGGAAAGACTGAGAAGTAAAGCTACGTGAAGGAGAGACCTAAGATGCTCTTCAGAGCCAGGCACGCACCTGCGCCGCAGGCCTGAAGTTCCCTTCTGGACTCACACCGGGAATGTGGGAGCGGGACTGAGGCTCATCAGGGTCGCTCACCACACAGGTTCTTAGCTCTCTGCTGTCTCATCCTGGAGAACACATGAGCTGTTGTGATAAAGACAGGAAGTGGTGCATATTTCTGTTGACACCGAGTGCTCATGAAGATGTCAGATGCCAGCACGATGATTGCTTTCATTGACTTACTTCGGCTGGTGGAGTAGGAAGCATCTGATGCCTTCTAAGGCTTCCATCCCACGTCTAAGTAGTATGCATTTAAGACACCACCTCTGAAACTTAGCCTGTGACTGGGAATAGTCTAACCAGAGGAAGAGCTTTTTCTGTATATCTACTTGGTATGGCATATTACACACTCAAATGACTGAATTATGCAGAACTGAAGTTGCAATGATGAAGTGACTACATTTCCTTGTTCTTTGGAGACTTTAGTTAAACTTTCATAGGAGACAAGATGAGAGACTCCAGCACTTTCAGAATTATTATTCTGAGACTCACAGTAGTTTTCTTTTATAATAAACAATTCCAGCACTGAACCTGTCCCATTTTCTTCTTCTCATTTGCTTCTTAAATTAAGAAAATGATTCTTACTAACAGTTGGGGGAAAAGATGGATGGGATCGTTTAATGCACAGGCCAGAGAGCAAACCAACCACAGTAAAATCATGCTTACATTAAGGTGCCTCTGTAATGAATGCTCAGGTCACACTCATCCTTCTAAAGACCACCTTTGTCAGAGGACACCGGAGCCCATGATGAGCATTAACTGTTTCCCAATTACCCTAGAACAGGAAAGGTATTTGTAATTTCTTGAAGCACTTTTGGACCTTTGAAAGCTGTCCTCTGCACATGCTTAGCGGCTCCTCAGGAAGCATAGTTGTCTTCAGTCTTGGGTCGACAGTTGGACACGTCAATTTGCTTTTCACCACCTGAACTTCCCTGGCCACAGGCTGCATCTGTGATCTTCAGAGCCTTTCTCCTTTGCTGATTTCTGTCTTCAAAATTCTTTCCCCAAGTCCTGGAGAGGTTGGTTTGTCTCTTCTGTGGTCCCATAAAAAGCAAATCCCTGCAAGTCCTCCCAGACACTCCACCTGCTCCCTCACTGCAGTGGTTTGCTGCACTTCATCCACAGCTGTTTATTCAGTGCATACTTTTTGAGTATCTGCAAGGTGTCATCACTGTTGCAGGGCTGAGGACGACACCAGTGAAGAGATGAAGCTCTGCTCTCCCGGAATCTCCATGCCGAACTATCGGCTTTCACTCTCCTCCGAGTCCGTGAGCTCTGTGGGTGCAGGGACCACCTTCCCGGGCTCCAATTTCCAGCCCATTTCCAAGACTACATCCACCAGTGGCCACTTCAGTCATCATTGGATGAAGGATCCCACGACTCCACCTCTCTGCCTTAGCAGAATCGAGTGCTCTCTATTTGTTCTTTAAAAAATATTGACAGCGGACTCTGGAACTGTGTTTGTGACAAGAATGTTAAAGTGTTACCTGCTGATATGTCACAGCTGCTCATTTCTGAGGTACCAGGTGATCTTGCAGCTTAGGTGCACAACGTGAGGTGAGGGTCAGGGTGAGGGCACATCCACCACCTCAAACACTTGTCTCTTCTTTCTGGAGGAATATTCAAAACTCTCCTTTGCACTTGCTTTGAACATACAGTTTATTATTTTCAACTGGAGCCACTACTGTTCTGTAAACACTGGAACTCATTCCTCTCAGTGCAGTTTAGTGCCAACTTCCCCGCTGCCTGCTCCCAGCCTGCAGTACCTGCCACTTGCTCTCCTTGTGTGAGATGCACACTTAGCTCTCACACCTGTGCGAGGATGTGCACATTTGGTTATGCCTCTTCTGTCTCCATCTGTGGTCGCCCACGTTGCATTCTTCGGTGGCTTCTAGTGTTTCACTGTGCCTTTCCTTCACTGCTCACTGCTGAAGGGCACTGATTAGAGTCCATGTCTGGGCCTGTGGATGACGCAGTGGTGAGCATGGGAGCCTGTGGTTTCCCTTCTTCTGGATGAGTATCCAGCGGAGGAATTGCTGGGTCTTACGTGTTCTCCTTTTTAGGGGCCCCTCCCTGTTTTCCATGAGGCTGTACTTGTTTACCTTCCAGCCAGCCACATGTAAAGAGGTGCTGTGCTGTTCCTGCTCGCCACGGCTTGCTGTTTCTCTTTTGCATGACAGCCTCTCTTACTGCAGTGAGAGGAGCCTTCTCTGTAATTTTGATTGTATTTCCCTGACGATCTGGTGGCCATTTGCCTTTAAAGACAGCTGATGTTTGCAAAGGTGCAGTAACATATGAAGTGTGGTCAAAATGTACAGCAAACATCTAAATTTTAAAGCTAATT